GATCGCGTTCCCCAGCCCTTGGCGGCCACGTGCGATTCACGTGCGCGGTGCGTGAGAGCTCACGTGACGGCCGATGGCCTTCGGCCGTAGTTGGCGATCGATACGTCGCTATGGCTGTTGCACGAGCGTGGGAACGGCGTCACGCACCGCGCACGTGGATCGCACGTGGCCGTGAAGGGCTGGGGAAGCCGATCGGCAGTGAGTAGAGGGCCGAAAACGGTGAAAAAAAAACAAATTTTTGGGAACAATGTTGATAGTTTGTTTATGTAGAATTGACTGGTGCACATCTCAGGTTTCTAGATGGCCAGGCCCATCTGGAAAAGCAAAAAATCTGATCATTTCAAGGGCATGACGAAAAGTGATGTTTGGGGTCACGCCACGGAGGAAACGCTCGCCTGCGAGCAAGTGTTCCATGTTTTAATAATAATTTCAATTATAATAATAACAATTCCATATGAATTCCATATAATTCTGCAGAGAAGTGACCGTAGTCTACGACAGTGAAGGAAATTGTTCGCTATCTTCACAGCTTTCTGCAAAACATCTCCTCTGAAAATGGAAAATGTCACATAATAGGCCCACTATGCCTGCTGAGAACTGTTCAAAGATTCCACTTGATATACAGAGGATGGGATATTGAGAGCAGAGGGACACGTAAAGCCAGTAAGCGCTTAAAAACGAAATGAAGATCTAAGAATTCGGAAAATAACATTCATCTAATCTCACAATGTAGTGGATGAGATTGAGTACGTGGCGCATTCTGGGGTAAGTTTTGAGGCCCTTCTTTGTGTGTAGCGGTCAGCCCGCATAAGCGGGATTATATACACATCACATGCGAGCAACTACTTTTTGAGATGAAAATCGAGTGCATGGCGCAATCCAAGATGGTGCCGCTAGAAAACTTAGACAATTCTTATAGAACTCGACGAGCTGAATTCAACATGTTTTCGGATTTGAAAAGCTCAATTTTGAACCGAGTTATAACAAACGAAAAAACGCGAAATCGCGTTTTTCGCGTGAATTTTTCAGTTTTTACGGCAAGTACCGTATGATCTTCCTGAACAGGTCTCCCACCTTCCTATGGATTGTTCTCTTTCTCCCACACTAAATTTAGCGTGAAAGCCGCCTTCAAACTGTCGTAAATTAATAAACAAAAAGTTCTTCAATTTACTCCGATTGTGTGATTGTTATTTACGCAGTAAAGCGAATTTTCGTCAAAACAATTCTAATAAGACAATTAGACTTCATACAACCATGTACACATTGACGACACCACTTTTACCCAGCACAACAACACTACCACCAACATCGACAGCACTACATACTGCTAACTTCTCGATCACAGTCTCTATAAAATTCACCACACTATCTATTTCAGAAAGCAGGCTACCGATTTGGACGAATTCGCACATGTGATGACTAATACGGTACTGTTTCAGCAACAACACTACCGATTTTGCCCACCACGCAAGAGATTCCGACTTCGATAGGATCTGCGATGACGACTAAAGAGCCGACAAGGACTACGTCAGGACCAACCAATATCACCACAACGCCAACAACGCCTACACCAACACTCCCACCCACCAAGACAAAAATGACAACGACAACGCCGAGACTCCCAGCCTTCACTACAACGCCGTTTACGACTACGTCAGGACCATCGACCTTCACTACGGCACCGATGACGACTACGTCAGAAACTTCTACCTTCGATACAACACCGTTCACGCCTACGTCAGAAACTTCTACCTTCGATACAACACCGTTCACGCCTACGTCAGAAACTTCTACCTTCGATACAACACCGTTCACGCCTACGTCAGAAACTTCTACCTTCGATACAACACCGTTCACGCCTACGTCAGAAACTTCTACCTTCGATACAACACCGTTCACGCCTACGTCAGGATCCACAACCGCCACTAGATACCCCTACAGGTAGGTTCACACCGTGACAGTGTAGGAGTAATATAGTGCGAAGACTCTTTCGTATGCACGCAGCCGAAAGGCCTGTTCCACGCCAACTTCTGTGACTGGGACAGCGCTCTTTGCCAAGATTTAGCATTTTTGACCACCACTGGTCGTTAAGGACCCATATTGTTCCTCAGTTCTTAACCCATTCGTGACAATGGCAGCCACCGGTGGCTGCCGTGCTTCAAATGGAATTTGGAAATGTTTTCTTTCCTGAAAAGAATCTTCATACCCTCATTCATGCCAGCCCTGGGCAGGGGAAAATCTCCATCCACTCAAATTTTATTGAAGAAAAATCTCCTGACTCTCCCTGCTATTGCGCAATCCCGCGCGGTCGCGACTGGGGAAATACTATGACCGAATGGTATTTTCGCCTTCAAAGGACGGATTCCACCATAAGGTCGAAGCTCGAAGAGGGGGAAACTTACCACACACAAGGGTCAAGCCCTGCGTTGCGCAAAATTCCCGAACATTACCCCTCCGCTTTTCAAAAGGTATCGGACGACCCGCGTATTACTTATTTGTGCCTTACATAATTTTAATGCTCATCATTGGTGTGTGGACAGTCACCGACATGGGGATGTGGTGGACCGTGGTCAATCCGCGCGCTTTGTTTCGCTCAGAGGAGGGCATCGAGGGAACATGGAATTTTACTCATTCAATAGAAGGAATATCCGAATTTTCGCGTAGACCAATGCATGATAGTAATTATAGAGATTTCTACCTACAGAAAATTACCAGGCTTTTTAAATTTCTCAATTCTTCCTCTTTTATAATCTGAATAAACTAAACCTTGTAGCAATTACGTTGCAATACAAACCCCTCCATTCAGAAGGTTATTTTTTCAGAAGCGGTCTCATGGAAACCGGACACCAAAATTTTAAAAATTCAAATAGTTTTCTTCCTAAAAAGTATTTGAAATGTTACGATGTTCAATATTTCAAAAAAAAAATCGTCCCGTTGTTCCGTTTTTTGTGCACACGCGAGTTTTCGACATTCAAACATTCATAACTTTCTTCATAATCAACTTTTTGCAGATGTCTAAGGCTAATTAGAAACTAGAAGATTAGCGCTTTCAAACAAGCACCTGACTTTTCCACGATCATTCTCTCAAAAAATAGTCCCGTTGTTCCGTTTGAGGGTTGTTTGGTCCGATTTTTGAGAAGGCGCGAGTTTTCGACATTCAAACGTTCATAACTTTTTCATAATCAACTTTTTGCAGATGTCTAAGGCTAATTAGAAACTAGAAGATTAGAGCTTCGAATAAGTGCTAAAACTTTTTGAAATAATCACTCGCTCAAAAAATAGTCCCGTTGTTCCGTTTTTTTCCACCTTGATTTTTTTCAAGCCATTTTCCTGGACCGCGACTATGCAGTCTTCAAAGGCCCATAACTTCCTTCAAAATTAATGTGATGAGAAGCGGTAAAGATTGTTGGAATCCACTCGAAGAGTACTTCATAACAACTGTGAAATTTTCCTGAAATTCTTCTGCCTCAATTTTCCTACGGCGTCTCTAGAACTCAATTCAGCAAATTCGCTACACTTTGTTCCGCTTAGATTTTGATTTGAAAGCATCGAAATTCTCTTCAGAAAGTTTGTCTGCTTACGGCCGCTGACAGAAAGGCGTTTTTATGGGAAAACGCCTGCTCGGGTATACGCCGTGCACCTGTCTGTGGACAGAAGTCGCACTCGCATTTGAAAGTCCTCCATTTTCCTGAAGAAGGTGTTAGTATCGTGATTGAGTTGCATTGTTATGGTACTCTTGTTTCACTTCCCCATGAACTGCTCTACACTTTGTTCTCCTTGGGATTTCAGGAATGTTCGATCATCGAAGACAGACCATGTTTTTGCACTACGCTGTAACAAAGTTTTTGGCTATTGTAATCTTGATCTATGCTGTCGAGCGAAAGCGCCGTCCGTGTATTAAGGATAATAATGGCTGATAGTGAGACTTATAATGCTCTGCATGCTCTAATGCTCCCATGGAGCTCTTGTCTGTGTGACTCTCCGACGACTGCACGGTGCAGAGCTCCTGGAGAACATTAGAGAAAGTGCACTGCCGGACACTGCACTTTTCAAGCCGTCTTGCAGCCCCGTCTCTCTGGATACGACCCCTCCCTTTCGTTCGGCCGAACGACCCCCTCGTTGTTCTTTGCGCAACGGGCGGTTGACCCTGCGTACACGTGGGAAGACAGGCGAACTCCCTAAGGGTGCGGACCGACACGCAATTCACAGCGAAGGATATGCCCCGGCGCAGTGGTTACCAGTGCTGGGACCTAGGATGGGTCCTAATGCGATAATTGTGACCGCAGGTTTCAGAATAGCAAGCTTTGCTGCTACAATTCGATTTTTCACAGATTAGCTTGCCTATTGATATACGTATTTCTTGTGCCGTGGAAGTTTTTAGGAGGGAACATCATCAAAAGGGTCGACGTTTCGACCACATCTCCTCCTTCGAGAACCAGTTCACTACAGCAATTGCGTGATAACGCTCATTCTCCTCTGTCATTTATCTGTTGTTTTCTATTATATTTACTTACCGCAACTGACACTGAGCATTTTTGACTCTAACAGTATACCTGTTATAATACAAGTTCTCTGCTTTCATACTGTAAATTTTTTTAAGAAAATTCCAAATTTGGACGGGGAACTCGTTTCAAAGGGAAGGAGGGCAAAACCTTAAAAGTTTAGTGTCCAAGAGAATTTCCGGGTACACTTCAAACCCCTTCCCATATCTGAAGGCTATGAGAAGACGAAGAAGTCCTGATTAGTAATTAATCTTTAGCCTAATAATTTAAAATCCCAATTAATAAGGGTGGCGAGCTAAATGGCACATTCTAAAATTCTATATAAATTAGCTCTTAGTAAACATTTCTGTATGCTAGCCATAGATATTATGGAACTTGCTTATAATTATTGGGTGTTACAAATGTTTTAAATGCACAAAGTAGGAAATTTTAAGGTGGCACCCACCATTGGGTGCCATTGTCCCACGCGACGAACATAGTGGCACCCACCGGTGGTGGTGCCATTGACTCCCCATTGGGTGCCATTGTCCCACGCGACGAACATAGTGGCACCCACCGGTGGGTGCCATTGTCGTCAAAGGGTTAATGAGCCATTACTGGGGCTAGATGAGCAGGTACGCAAGTGCAGAGGTCGAATTACTTCCCTACGTCGAAAACTTTGGCACGCTCACCTGTACTGTCACGCTCCGCCCACCGCTCGATATCTTGTCTGCGTCGCAATGTTGATCTGCTATGCTCTCTCTACTCGGACTTCTCTACCGCTCTCCGCGCTCACATTATCTCTCATCTCCCTGCCGGCCTTTTGAACTTCTCCGCAGCGTAGAGCAAAAGGCTCGTATTTCCTGTGTATTTCACGATTTTTTTTCCTTTTTTCTCCACTGGCGGTCCACCTCCCACCCCTACTTCACATTTGGAAGAACTACCTCATCAATTTAATCTTGAATCTTGCCTTCAATAATCATAAGGTGAATATACTCTGTGTCACGAGATCAGCTTTTTCACTTTCCTGCAATTATTTTTTTTGGTGTCCGTACCTTTTCACAATTGTATGGTCCCCTGAGAAGAAGAACAACTTCCTAAAATAGTGGCCCACATAAAAGGCTAGTAATCTGGATCTAAACCTTTTCTGTAATAACAGCATCATCGTGCTTCTGTGACGTGCTATATAGAATCGAGATCCCATGCACTTAAGCATTGATTCACTTCCATACTTCAAGTGTTGCATATTGTAGCTTTTCTGAAGTATCTAATTGGCAGTTATTCACACGATACCCCCTGATAAAGGGGCTCTGGATATTGTTCATCGAAATGCGACTAAGGTTTCAAGCCAACCCCTTCGGAACTCTAGTCTTCGAGAGTGCTACCGCTCCTTCGACGGATGGCCCGCATAGGGAACACAGGTCTCTGTAGGAATACGTGGTATAGACGACGTTGTGGGTTTGAGAACAGGGCTAGATGTTCTCACAAAGCTTAACGATAATCCATGGGGTCAATTATGCAGGTCAGGACAAAATTGCCGGCACTACATTAACACGTTGACGACATCGCGCGTTTTGTGCTTTTGCACCTCGTGGGACAAGAGCGATTTTGCGAGCGCAGCCGCCGCACACCAAATCCATAACTTATAAGAGTTACAGTAATGGAAGTTCGACCGAAATGACGTTTAAGGCCATGAAAAGGGAAATTTTACACTTTCCCTTTAGTGGTTCCAAAATTAATTTGGACGTGGTTGTTTCAGTAAAAACACATATCTTCCCATACGAAATAGGTTTGTATTCACTTCTGTTATTCCTTTTTATCAACATGTCTACGTTATTGAAAAGAAAACGAGGAATGAATTGAACAGACATATCGTAAGGTCTGGAACGTCTGTCAACTAGAAGATATATTTATCCTTCTGTGAGGCCATGTGGGGTTGTTTTAAGTATTGAACGAATATGGAGCCTCCTCTAGATAAATACAAAGGCCTTTTAGGATCCTAATTTCGGCCCTAGCGGCAAGAAAACGGAGGTTGGACGCGTTACGCGCCGTCACATATGTCCCATCAAGGTGCGCACATGTGGGACTGCGTTACCGGCGTCACGCTGTCCAAAGAACCGTGTTAACCCTTTGACGACAATGCGGATTTGCACGTAGCGTGCTCGTGGGACCACGCCTCTTTTTGGCGCGCCCAACTCTCGCACAAAATGGGCAAAATTGTCCCTAAAAGCAGTTTTTCTATCAAAATTTTGACTATGACAATAAACAAAATATGACTGCAGTCTTAAGCTTTATGATCATGTATTGTTGGAATTAGAAGTGGAAGTTTGGAAAGAAATCTCGGATTTCAAAGGGATGGTGTTTGAAAACTTAGAATTCAAATGTACAGTAGAATTTTTGATATAGTTCAAACTCCTCCTTGTGTCTTAAGACTGTGAAAAGACGTAGAGGTCC